AAGTACAAAAGGTATAGTCCTATAACCCCATTTTCCAGTTACCTACTCCAGAGAAACCAATGTAACCAGCTTCTTTTGGATCTTTCCAGAGATATTTTATGAATATGCAAGCAATTACATGTCTTTTTTATACATGTATACATTCCACATTTACATTTCTTTATACACTTTGGAAGCATGCTGTGCTCATGGTCTTGCATCTTGTTTTCTCCACCTTACAGTAGATACCAGAGATCATTGTAAAAGAACTCCTTTTTTTAAGTAGCATTTTAGTATTCTATTGCATGCTGTAACTGCATACTTTATACATTAAAATCTGAGTTTAAATTTCTTTTTTAAAAAATCTTTATTATCTGCCTCAGGAAAAGAAAGTGAAATTGTTCAAGAAGTCAAAAGTTTTAACTCTGCCGTTAACACCCATGATAATGCTATTCTAAGATTTAAGCCTGGGTCTCTCTCATGGCCACTTTTTATTTTCCCCTTGCTACCAAAGGGCACCTGCTCCTGCTTTTGGCTTTCCGTCCATTTGCTGCAGTGATTTGAAACCTTGCCAAGGTTTTTCTAACCAGCAGAATGTGTCTAGAAGAGTCTGGTTTTGACCTTTTCAGGTTACCTCTCCACTCCTGTCCCATTTCTCTGCTCCACCTATTTTCTCAAGGCACAGCCAAATCCAGTGGGCTTGGCCACCTATCGAAAGTGGGGTTTAGGTATGAGCCAGAGGGAAGGAGGATGGGAGCGCCCACTCTTCTATGCTACCAAGTCCCTAGCAACGACGCCTCCATTCTCTCGTGCAGCTGAAGAGTTATAGTGAGAAACTGGACAAAGAGCAAGCAGCCCTTGAGAAGATAGAATCCAAAGCTGATCCAAGGTAAGAGGTTTCGGCATGCATTTATTTTCCCTTTGAAAAAAAGTAACTTTGCCAATACACGGTGGCTTAATTTGTTTGGGAACAAGACAAAACAGCCAAAGGCCATCGGTTCAGGCCCCTCAGTTCAGTTCATTTCACATGCCCGTCCATAAAGTGGCGACTCTCTGTTGCTCAGGCACGTTCTGAAATGTGCCTGAGTTGCCTTGAGGCAACCTTTCTCCCAATTCCCCTTCGAAGCAGAAGCAGCATTTTGTTGTTTGCTTTTCTGTTTTTAAAATCGGTCATACCTTTACGGTACAAAAAGGGCATACGGTGAAAAGTCTTCCTCCCACCCCATCCCCAGTCACCCAGTTCTCTTCCCTGGAGTCCACCAGTTTTTTAACAACATATATATCCTTGGGAAAACAGGTGCAGTCTTTTTGTCAAGGCACAGCTGCTGTAGTTTTGTTTTGTTTTGTTTTGTTCTGTTTGTTTTTGTATTTCCATGTAAAATTAATTGTCGTTAGAGGAGAAGAAGCACTTATCATTTGACCTTTTTTGCTCCAGACTGTTTGAGTGGTAAAATCTCCTAGATGTTGCTTATTTGAATGAGATTGTAAAATCACAAAAAGTTTTAGGTGCAGAATGAGTAGTTCTGGTTTGATGGACATTTTTAACAAAAAGTACCCACAGATTACTTAGCTCTATAATTAAAAACTTTTCTTTCATGATTTGGATCAAAGTGCTGTCAGATATTTGACATTTTTATTTTTAAGTTAGTGCTTTTAATGGCCTTAAGCAACTTGTTTCCTTTTCAGAATGGATATTAAAAATGGTTTTCAATACTGTATATGCCATGAATGTAGTCGAATAATTGGTATCATAAAATATATTCAGTACCTCTGAAACTCATTGATGTTTCTATAGTTGACATTTTAATTCTGGAATCCATAATGTTAGTTTAGAGCTGGCCTGATGGTCTTGGGTATATAAATGAATAATAATGTCAGTTAAATCAATGGCATTATCCTTTGTGGAGAATTCATCAGAAATTCTTGGAGAAGACAAAAGAAATAAAAAAGAGGGTCTTTTTATTTAGCTGGGGACCTGGTTTTTGCTGTGATTCATAAAATCATAATGGCCTGCCATGTGTTGTGTTTTTTTGGTTTTTTTTTTTTTTTTGGTCTTTTTCCTTCAGTATTCTGCAGAACTTGAGAGCACTTGTAGCCATGAATGAAAATCTGAAAAGTCAGGAACAGGAGTTTAAAGCACATTGTCGAGTAAGTGTTGTTTAGCATCAGCAAACAAACCAGGACTCTTATAAATCTCTTGGTGTACTTCCCCTTGTCCTGTCGTGGCATCCTATCCAAGTGCAGTTTCAAAAGTAGATTCATCGAACAGTTACGTATCAGTTGTGTAAGATGGGTAGCGTACTACAGTAGGTACCCTTCAAGGATACTAGAAGTTAGATTAGTATTAATAACTGTGCCAAACCTCAAAATTGAGAGCACAGTCTAGCAAACGATGTTATCTAATTAACGAAGGTATGTGAAAGAAAAGTCTTATAAAGTTTTTTTAAAAAATACATCATATTTTGTTGACATGAGCTTTGTAAAGAGAATAGCATCATACAAAACCAGGCTGTCCTGAAAACCTGGGATGTCTCTGTGTCCTATTATAAGCCCTGGCTCCTGCCATCTGGGAACTTGTAGTCTAGTCGTGGGGGTGATGTGTGCACAGGTGACTGAAGTGGGAGGCAGGGAAATGAGGCTGGGCAAGTTCAGTGTGAGATCCAGTGGAGGAAAGGCCACTCCAACATAGGGGCCATTGGGAAGCTAAATCTTACTTCAGGGCCAGGCAGGATGGCAAGTGGAGGAGGGACTTCCAGCTCCAGGCTGGAAGGGCCTCAGGTAAGGTGGACAGGTGGATAAGGCTGAGGCCTGCTGGGGAGAGGAAGCAGATAAGGCTGATTGGAACTAGGCTCTAAACCACTCTCATTCATTTCATTTCCCGGTGATTACTGCGTACCTCACTGGCCCTTTAGAAAGAAGGGCCTCTCCTGACTGAG